GTCTCCGGTGAGCGGTTTCTCTCCGCGGCCTCTCCCGTTCCAACGCGTCCGTAACACGCCAGAAGCGAAGCGCAACGCCTAAAGCCGATGCGTTCCCGCTTCCCTGGGGAAAAGCGGTTAACAGACGTGTCCCGGAAAGCGTCACTGCCCGCGGAGGTCCCACCTTCTGTTTGCACTTGGGTGGTCTCGTAGGCCCTGAGGTGTGAAAATACCAGGGTTGTTGGTGTTATCATAAAGATCATACTGTTATCCTCCCGTTCTGACAAGTTCCTGGCCTCAGAAGGGAGTCACAGAATAACAAGGCTGTGTGGAACACTTCCTACCACCAGTTCTGAGCTTGCTGTCTCCCACTTCAGCGGGATGTTCACCTGCTCCTGTAATCAAGGGGTTTCTTCTTAACCTCTCCAGTTCTTACTTGACATGCATTTATCACATCGCCTACTTACTCATCAGTCACTTTTCCGAGTGTCTTTTCATGCAACTATTTTTCCATGTCCCTGCTTCCAACTGCCCTCTTTGAACACCTAACCCTGCTCTATCCTGGGGACATGCAGTACCTGCTTCTTCCCGAAGCATTCCCGAGGAAACCCTACAGTTGCTTTCAATCATGGTATGTCATTTCCAATTTAATCTCCAGCCCTCTCCCAATGCACCCTGACGACTCCCTCTTTTTGGAGCCACACTGCAGTCGAAAGTTTTAACTCGATTATCTTTATACCTTGTTTTTGCATTGAGGTGATACAGACATTGCTTTGAAAACCCAAGCATCATGTGGAGCCTTGAGCCTTGCTTTTAACTGCGGTGACTGGGTGCTACTTGATTCTCAGCGACTTTTTCTTCCATAAAAATGTTGTTTCTTCCTGACTTATTTCAGTCGCTTCACAGAATCTTTCTCAAATACACTGTGAACATTTAAAGACACCATCCCTAGCAACTCGTCTCTAGACACTATCTTTGTGGCCCTTTTAATGTTATAATGCAGTGCTTTTGTCAAGGTGCTGAAGAGTCGTGCAAATACATTATTTTACATCACAGCAGGTCCAGGGATTTAGGGATTCCACAGTCTCTAAAGATTCACATACATAGTTTGGATTGGTTTACCTTTATTACCTTAAAATTGAACTACAGTGATGTAATTATGGAAGTACTATTAGTCTAATAAGTAAATGCTTGTATTGCTAACATTTATTTCACTATATGGGTATTAAACAACTTCTCCCAGCATAAGTCTTTTCCCTCCGGAGCGCTGTACAAACTGAAACGTATTCCATCTTTTCCTCAATCAAGAGAGCTGATAGAAAAGCTGGATGTAGCCAATCCCCAAGAAACGGGGCGAGGGAGATGCTCAGACCTCTAATACCGATAAAGACTTCTTTTCAGCCAGGTAATTGCCTCGCTAGTCTGAGGAGCACCCACATTATCTGGGCTTTGTCCGCTTCCCAAGCCCTTTTCTCCTCGAAGACCGTACACAGAGGTGTAAGCAAGCGGGTTGTCCCGGCAATGGTTGAATTCCATCCATTCATCTGACCTCGCCACTCTTCCCCCCCTCAGCCAGCCCCGCCGGGCTGCGGCCAATTTACCTCTCAATTAGCAACAATTAGCAGCAGCTCCGGGTAAGATAAAGGCAGGGCAGGGAGAGACCCAGGACCGACCTTTCTGCGGCCATGATCATGGAGGGCTTCGTCTGCTCGCCCCTCAGCCAGTTCCAGAGCTTCAGGGGCAGCCTGACGCCGACCCGCAGCAGGGACTCGGCGGCCAAGCAGCCCAGCTGGAAGCAGAGCAAGAGCAGCAGCATCAGCCCCTTCCTGGGGGGAGCCCTCAGCCCCCTGCCCGCCGACTACCTGGACACCTGCCGCCGGGTGCACCTGCAGGCCCTCCTGTCTCAGGTGAGCCCCGGGCTGGCGCCGCGGCCGCGCCGGGCCAGCACCCGGGAGGTGGGCGTGCAGGTGAG